ATACTGATGTAATCAGATTTAGAAAATACTGCCTTGTACATGGGCAGGGTGGGTTCATGGGTAAAGTAACATTTGAGCAAAGATTTAAAGGAGGTGAGGGGGTGAGCCACATGCCTGCCTCCCTAGGACAGAACATTCCAGAGACTAGTATGGCTTGCCTTCTGATTTTAATTTTTTTACTCCTTTTATTTTTCCTTTTTTAACAAATAGTCCCAGGGATAGGGAACGAGGGGAAGAGAGGCAGGAAAGTGAGACTCCAGACTCACAGCCCTCCCCAGCCATCCCTTTCCCCCTTATATATTTATAATCTGTATATAAGCCCTGGGGGATGGAAGTCAAGGGGGACCTTCCTCAGTGGGGTGAGGGCAATCCAGGCCCCTTGTCCCCTTGGGACCCAGCCTCCTTTGCCCTTTGAGAAGGCCCTTCTAGAGAAGGTGGCCCTGTCTGCTCCCAAGGCTTTGGCATACAGCACAGGGCATCTGGTGGGAAGGCCTGCTAGTAGAGGTCAATGCACTGGGTGCAAAAGTAGAGAAAGGTGACAGCCTTCAAGATTTGAGGAACAGTTCCTGTAAGGCCTTGTAGGCCGGGTAATTTGATTTTTGTTTTTTTTTAGCTTTGAGTGAGATGGGAAGTCAAAAACAGGGCCTTGAACAAACTTGTTTTAGAAAAATTACTTTGGGCTACAGTGTGAAGAATGGATTAGTGGCAGAGGGTCCAGAATATAGAAGGCAAGTCAGGAAACTGCAGCAAACTCAGCCAGAGGGGCCATGACGGCCACAGTACCTCTGGTGAGAGCTGGTTAGATCATGTGTCCAGTTTGAAGTTGCAGTAAATAAAATTTTCAGGTGAATTAGGTGTGTTATGTGGGAAGAGATGCCAAAGGTTCCTGAAAGGTGAGGCTGCCTTTGTCTGAGACGGGGAGGGATGGGTGTGCGACAGCTGTAAAAGTGGAGCCTTTAGTCAGAGATGGCAAGTTAGAGATGTTTATTGAATATACAAGTGGAATTACTCCAGAGGCATTTGGATAAATAAATAGGGAGTTCTGGAGAGCAGGCTAAGCCGGCCATAATACTCAGGGAGTTACAGGCTGAGGATATTATATAAATTGCAACCCTGAACGCCAAGCAAAGGATTGTGTACAGAAGCAAACAAGCACGGATGAGCCTAGGTCCCTGGAGAATAGGAGACTGGAAGAGCGCAGTAGTTTCCTGGAAGCTTAAAGGAAAAGCACGGTGAAGAGGAAGGATGTAGTCGGGGCTCTGAGTCATGGCAGCCATTGGGTAGTTGTTGGTAACCCAGCTGAGCAGCTTCAGAGGGTTGGGGACAGATGCCTGCCTCAAAGAAGCTTGCAGAGAATGAGAAGGCTTGAATGAGGGGTGGACATGTGGCACTAGCTGGCGATTGGACAGCACTGCCTCAGCTTAGCCAGGAGGAGGTGAGAGAAGTGTGTGCTTTGTATTTCACAAAGGGAGAAAGAACCGTGTGCTGCTGTGGAACGACATAGTAGAAAGTGAGTCTGAAAGTCTGACGTGGTAGGAGGGATGCCTTGGAGCTCTGTCCTTGTGTGTGCTTTCGTTCTGAGGAAACCCCTTTTCCTAACCTGCAGGGTATGTGTGAGCACAGGTGGCAGAGACGAGACCCCTTCTAAGCTGCTGCATGCTGTCAGCGCTGCCCCATCCCATCTTGCTGTTTGGACTGGGAACCAGTTGGTAGCCAGCGGGAACTACAGTCACAGCCAGTCCTTTTTCCACTGAGTAAAGGATCCTTGATATAAACAGTTAAGTACTGCTATCAGAGACTGGGAAACCATCCTGTTCCCAGCTACCCAGCTCCCTAGCTCCCTGAGGAGGCATCCTGGCTTGGGAGCAACAGGGAAAGCTGAGCTGAGGTGAGATGTGCTGCCCTGTGGCTCCTGTCACTGCTTGGCACACACCTTGCCCTGAGCTGCTATTCTCTTAGGGAGCATTGCTCTCAAAGACAAATTCTGTCTACTCAGAGAAACAGTGGACTGGTGGTGTGTAAATTCATTCCACCCTTCACTTTAAAAGGAAGAACATTATGAAATTATACTAAAAGGAGGGGGACAAGTCCTAGCTTTTTTTTCACTGATTAGGAAAGGAACGCAATATGGGAAAGTCCTCCCAGGGCCCCTCATCCCCATCATCCCACAATAGTGACTTTAGAGTGCCCCAGGCTTGGTGCAGGGGAGTAACTTCCCACTTTGGTGCTCCATATTTCACTGTCGTCAGAATCAAGTATCAGCTCTGCAGCTAAGGAGAGTTAAGCTTTGAGATGGTAAAGCTTACGACATTTGTGCAGTTACAGTTTCGTAGCTCATAGGATTTGTTAAAAAAAGAATGCTTACTGGCACAAAACTAAGACCATCTATTCCAGATCAAGAAAACAAATTGGAGTAGGGGGGTATAAAACGCTGATCTTGTCTCTTCAAGACAAAGCATGCTGCCTTTTCAGTGACCTGTGACATCATTGCTAAGAATGTTGGCTAGATTGTAATGTTTTGACCTCTAGAAGAAAACACAGTGGTCCTTTTTTTTTTTAAGCAGAAACTCAAATGTTTAATAACAGATCACAAGGAAATTGAAATTCTTTTTGAAGAGTCTTGAGTGAGCTGGCTGTGGTGGCCCATGCCTGTTATCCAGCACTTAGGAGACTGAGGGAGTAAAAAGAATTCAAAGCCAGGGCCTGGGGATATGGGTCAGTGGTTAAAGTGTTTATGATGAAGACAGAGTACTGGATTCAGATGGGTGTGGTATGGATCTTTCAAGAAACCTAGCCACAAGACTACCATACAGGCAAGCTTTGGGTTTGATTCAGAGACTCTGCTTCAACGAATAAGGCAGAACCACAATTGAGGATGATTCCTGACATCAACCTTGGACCTCTACATGCATGAGCATACAGGTGCAAAGCCCCCCCTCACACACCTACATATCTACACACATGCTGTCCCAGTTTGATTCTCCATTGCTGTGACAAAACACTCTGACCAATACCAACTTGGGGAGGAAAGGGTTTATTTA